AGTAAAGGATACATCTACAGCTAAAAATAATACTTCTAACATCAACATGTAAAAAGCTCAGCTCTTTCTGCTTGACTTAACATCAGTGCAGTTTAGGACTGATCTGCTTAGCACAATGGTAAAATAATAATCACTTTTTGGATATTTACAAAGAAGAATTTATTTATTGAATCCAAAACTTAATTATTTTTTGTTCAGTCTTGGCTTAGTTACTCCTCTGAGTGCATTTTTCTTTTAGCAAATTACCTTTTTTGAGTCTCCCTACTCGTATATTTAATAATTAATCGATTACTAAATTAGCTCCCAATTATTGAAACTGTCGATTAATCGCAATTAATTTCATTGTTTCAGCGCACACACGTGTCTCCTGGGTGTTTAATCTTCCTCCGTGAACAACCATCAGTTTGTTCATCAAGACCCAAAAATGTCTGTGTACAGCACATAAATCTGCCACAGCGTAATGCATTATTAAACAGCTCCATATTTCCTATATTTTCTCATATTTTTCTCTTTCCAATGTGCCCCGGTAGATAGAGCTAACCTTTAATGGGCTCTTAATAGACTTATAAATGGCAGACATTTTGACATATGAGAGCAGGAACTGCACAGGTGTAATTAATAACATTCATAATGGCTGCTGTCAGTCTTCTGTGACAGTTCTACTTTCATGGGCAGGCTGCATACTGGTCATTGGCATGCCATCCTCTCATACCTGATGGAAGTGAGCCACTGTGGAGTTATTAATTAAACATGTTTCTCCTGCTATGACCACTTCCCTGCTGAGAAAAATTGCCGCGGTACCATTTACAACACTGAAGTGTAATGTGTCACTGCTGCCGCTCCTGTTAACACAGACAGTTATTTTTGAAGCCTTTTAGTAAAATTATAGAGGGGAAAAATGACAGGCGTTCAAAAAAAACAAAAAAAACAAAAACAAAAAAAGCTGTTTTCAGAGTCTAGTCAAGGAAGGAGTTTATATATAATGCAGGTGGGGGAAACGTAATAACAAGATGTCGTACTGAAATCAAAAAACAGAAAATTTGTTTTCTCTTTGTAACATTAGAAAGTATTATTATAAAACAAAACAGAAAATATCTAAAAGTTCTGGGGTTCGCTCCTGAAACAGGCGTACGTCACTCTCCACGCAAAGGTTGTGATCTATGAAAACAGCATGATGGGAAAATAGCTTTGTTATTTTGGTTCTGCTGTTGAGACAGGACGATACATAAAAGGTCTTTCAATGACAAAAAGCTTTATAAGCCAAATTCAATATTAAATCAAAACATTTCCTCAAAGTTTTCCCACCATCACATCTCTTGCTCCAGATGATTACCATGGTGATGTGGACCAAAGATTAACACACAAAATATGAGGCAATGAGTGTCCAATGTTATTTAAATACCATGGTGATGCCATATACCGTATCATACCAGTGGTACCAAACCAGCTATAAATGAATAATTAGTAGAAAATGAAAGTTATTCCGATTAGCACTACATTGTTGCACTGATCTTGTATGAAGCTCAAACTACAATCAATGAAATCTAATAAATAATGTAGAAGTTCAAATTGCAAGTTCCTAAATAAATCTCAAAGTGCTGCACATAACTAAGTCTACAGAAATTGAAAAAGACACGGGAAACAAAGTCATTGACATTCATCAGTCTGAAAAACATCAAATCACCATTTTGAAAGGCTTCGGCAAAACACGATGAGAAATGTACAATCCAGATTTCTTCTTGGCTTTTTTCACACAACTTTTAGATCATCAAATAAATTGTATCATCTAACAAAGAGAACCAAATTAAATACAAAAAACACTTTTCAAATGATTATTTAACTTTGTAAGGAGAAAATAATTAACTACTGATTGTGCCACATTTGGCAGCAACATCTGCCATCAAGTGTTTGAGATAACTGATTATAGGTTTTTTTATATTACTGTGGAGGAATATTTGCTTTGACTTCTTTTTCAGAATCGTTTTGGCACATTTGATGTTTTTTTTTTTTTTGCTCTAATTCATGTTTTAACAGGAGGGACTTATGTATTTGCATCTTGGTTTCTCTTGCTAAGCGAATTCATAACCTAAGTAAATTCACTCTGACTACCAAAGTTTAATGTCTGAAATGAAACTTTATCTAAAGATCTGAAACGCTTGTTTGTCAAGAAGCAAAAATGGCTGAAATTTGTATGAGCAGCTACTATTTTCACTGCAGTTTTTCCTACAAAACAAAACAAGAAACAGGAAAACGCATTCAAAAAATAGCTTAGCTCTGTCATCTGAGCCACTAAGCTGTAACTATGAGTGAACAAAAAGAAAAAAATTATGCTCTGCACCGTTTGGCTTTCCCTACTTTTACAAATGTTTCATTTCTATTCTATAAATAGATATATTTTAATATCATTTTCAAACATGCTTTTCAGATTACAGCTATGACATTAAACAAGAGAGACTTCAATTAAATGTGAAAGAGAGAAATGTATATTATAAAAAGCTGCAACCTTTCATACAAAGGCAGTCGCAGTGAAACACAGAATAACAAGTTGTAGGAATCGCAATTAAATCAAACCATCCAGAACTTGTTCAGGAGATGAAAGCAGTGTTCAATCTGAACCCCATTCTGCCCACCAGGTTTGATTCTGAACATAAAGACTGTTTACCTGGTGCAATGTTAATCAAAGCAGAAATCACCTTATTTCACCCTGATTTGATTAGACCCATTTCCCTGATTGCTCTCGTCTCATCCCTCCTAGGTTACCATCGCCGTGGGACTGGCGGGCTTCGCTTGCGTCCTCCTCCTCGTCCTTTTTGTTCTCATCAATAAGTACGGCCGACGCTCCAAATTCGGTATGAAAGGTGAGTCTGCGCAGCTAGCTGGACGAGGGAGAGAAGCCCAAAAAGCTGCTCCTGTTGCTTTGCCTTTCTGGCTGATGCGTCTCGATGTGGAATCAATTCCGCTTGTAAATCTTCCCAGGCCTTGCTGAGCTGAAAATCGTTCACGAGTGACGACTGAAGCAGTCCCACGTTTTAGTGCAGGTTAAATAAGCCGATACTTCATTTCAGCTATATTCCCTGCATGGAGTCATTTGGGAAAAAATGATGTTTTCCTGCAGTAGCAAGGAAGTGTATTAGGTAGATTTTTCTTGCTTTTTTTTCTCTTTTTTTTGGCTTGTACACAAAGTGACATAACTAAATTTTTCTGGAGAGGACATGCAAAGCTCAGTTCTTTCATTTTATGATTCTTGTCTTACATTAACACAGCTTCTAAGTAGAGATGCACTGATCAGAGTTTTATGCCTCTGGTTTTTGTAAAACTGTTACAGACGTCCCCTCCAACTGTGTTAAAAGAATGCATAAGGGAAGTATTTGGATTGTTTTTATAGACTTTCTGCCATTATGGCTCAAAAAAATCATTTAAAAACTGCAGTATGTATCTCTTATGGAAAATGTTTTTTTTACATATTTGTTAAAATTACCATCATGACAGAACAAGAAATCTGTAGAGAAAAAAAATCGAGCTCCAAGTACTAACTGCAGAAATACTCAGTCAGAATCAACCAATCAGAACCAGCAGCGGGGTCTTTGTGCTGTCGATCACTCTCGTTCTCACACCCACTTCACTCCCTTCCTCTTCTACACTTGAGCTGGTTCACCACAACGTAACCTGCCACAAATGCTAAAGCTAGTTAGCATGTTCACCAACCACAGTGGATAAACAGTTTTGCTGAAATGGTGAGTTGTTTCTCCACCATCACCACATTGAGCAGTGAGTACATGAGGATGCTTGACAGCTCTAAGACCCTCCTCCCGACTCTGATTGGTTGTTTTTGACCGGGAGCGGAGCATTTCTTCAGATGGCAGTAACGGCTCAGGGAGGAGGTGGACGAGCTCAATCTTTTCACAGATAATCTGTCTCATAACATTCAGTCACAATATGGTGACAGTTTTAACAAATATGGAAAAAACATATTTTTGTAAACGTTATGTACTGCAGCTTTAACATTAAAATAAATTACAGCGAGAGAGAACTGTCCTTTCTAATTGCTAATGTCATCCTGTATTAGCAGTTAGGTACTTATTATTTCTTAAACAGCTTTTCCCATACAGGAGACCTTTGAAATGGTTTTCAAAACTCATGACGGAGATTAAAAACTTAAAAGGTTAAAACAGAATTTGTGCTGTAGTCACAACTCTCTCTCGGACTTGATCTCTTGCAACTGGTATAAAAAAAGCTTCTTACATCTCTATCCTTTCTTCAAATTTATAAAAGGGAAAAATACTAAAATTGCTAACCTTTATTTTTAACTTGGTCACAGTATTTGCAACTAAAGAGTGTTAGTATTATTGCTACGACTTGATGGCACTTCTGTATAGCACATTCACTGACCTAAAAATGATGTTTTTTTGCTGCTGTTGAATTTCCATCAAGCACACAGGATCATTTGATTCCGGTCAGCAGCTGATTTACTCGGCTCTTCTCCGCTTCTGATGCTTCCGTAAACGCTGGGTGTACTTTGCTCTGTCGATCACGTTGAGTTTCCGCTTCAGGCCGGCTCCAGATGTTGCTTATCTCTTGGCTGTTGGTGTTTTGACAGACGGAAATGGCTGTTGTTGGTCTGATCTAGGAGTGAATCAGGGGCAGAGGCGAGATGGGAGTTCAGTTCCTGTTGGTTCGTTTCTCATCAGACTGAGAAGAAGAGTCGACAGCAAGTGGCTGCGTTTGATTTGACGAGCAGCTCCGTTTGTATGTCGCTGTAAATTTGCTTTAATGTAACCAACTCTCTTGTTCGCTTGTCGTTTTAAGTACGTCGTAGTTTCTGTCGTCTTCTTGCTCCTTCAAACAAAAATGCGGATGAATATTAACACGGCAGTCTGACCCTCAAACATCCCCTCTTCTTCATTAAATGCATAAAGTACGGCGCCGAACCAGACGAGCGACTGCCACCTGTTAATTACCTATTTTAGAGGATTAAAGATTATTTACCTCGGTAAACATCTCTGCTGTAATATTTTGAAGGGTGGCAATTAATGCAGAGGCCTAAAGCCGGCTCTAATCAAGGACAAGCCTTAATGAGGTTTCACACACTGTTTGTTGTGTCACATTAAGTTTTTTAGCTGTGTTAGCAAACATGGAGCAAAAGCCCTAATACTTTGAACTTTTAAATGCTTTGCAAAACTTTTTTTAAAAATACAAATCTGATTCTAATGCATTGAACTCTGATACTCATAGATACAATCTGATGCTGCAAACTGTCTAAATTTGAAGCAGGGTAAGGTTATTAAATACCATCCCAACCTTTTAACATAGAGGAGAGTTTAGTTTATTATCTAAAAATGAAAAGAATATCAGTCTACAAACTTACCAAGACATGGCCTTCCATCTAGCTATCTAATAATGCTAATTAAAAACATAAAAAAAACAACTGCATTACTATTTCAGATAGTTTTCATTAGTCTTTAGAGTGTTTTTTATTAAGTTAAATATTGTTTAACTTCAATTCAGTTTTTATTAGTTATTGCAGTTTAGTTTTGTCATACTTTAGTTAATTTTTAGGTGCAGAATTCAAAAAGGTCAAAGTGTTGTGATTATTTATACATCGATTGGGTAATGAATATTCTACAGAAGATACATTTTCAAAAAAATATATTCAGTTATTGTTGAACAACCAACTGACTCTGGTGTTTTCTCCAAACCTTTGCTGCTGCCATTTTGCGGCTAGCATAACTTCCACCTGGAGGAATATGGAGTGTCGTAATTTAGCCACGGTTGAGTTAAAGTCTAAATAGATTCGAAAACATGAAAATGAAGGATATCACATCTGTACTTTCAGTATGTTTCACTTAGTTTTATAATTGTACAATATAGTTCCAGTTAGTCATACTTTTCCCCATTAATTACCGTTTTTAATTATTTCAGTTAACAAAACTTGTTTTCTCCGTTATAAACTTTAGCGATCCACAGCTCAGGTGTGAGACTGTTGACGGAAAAAAAGGCAAGAAAATTAAATTAATTACTTACACTGCATTTACCCCTTGGAACAGACTACGTTAAATTGACCAGGTAGTGACATTCAACATGGTGAATGTCGCTGAAGGGTAAAAACTGTTTCTCTGCAGAGTTTGTGTCAGAAAACTAAAGGTAAATACGGCCTTAAATGCACCACTGTCATGGTGGTGAATGTATTAACCTGACGAGATGTGAAGCTGTTCAACGCTAAATGAAAGGTGACGAACAGAAGAAGCAAAAAATTTTAGACTTCACCTTCACCGTAAATATATAGCCAGTTACAATAGAATGATTTAGATAAAAGCATTTTTATGTTAGAATGGCCTAGTCAAAGTCCAGATATAACTCTAAATGAGAGAGGCTTGCAGACTGATGTTACCCAATTCTCTCCATCCAGTCTAACAGAGCTTGAGCTATCTTGCAAAGAATGATAAGGAAAAATCTCATCCTCTGAGATGAACACCTGAAAGTATCTGAACCTCCAGTTAATTTCACACATTATTGACCAGACGGGGCTGAATACTAATGCAAGTCACACTTTTCAGATATTTATTTTTAAACAATACTGGGATCATTTTTGATCTTAAGCATTATTCACTGTGTTGTGTTAGTCTACTGCACAAACACCCAATAAAAAAACATTGAAGTTTGCAGCTGAAACACAAGAAAACCGCAAAAAGCTCAAGGTGTGTGAATACTTTGCATTATTTAAAACAAAATGAACCCCAAATCAGAAGCAGGAAGAAGACGTATACATCAGCAAGGAACAGTGACAAGGAAGCGATCACGCACGTACGCACGCACACACACACACACACACACACACACACACACACACACACACACACACACACACACACACACACACACACACACACACACGACTTGAGCAGCTGGTTGAAGGCGCTGAGTCTTGGCGTTTCCGTAAATGAGATCTGCTTGCTAATGATGCGCCTGCTGCACCCTAACTTTGTCATTTCTCTTTTATTCAAGTACCTTTATTCAGTTCATGTAACTAGATTTTGCACAGCAGAGGAGTTTATTTACATCCACCCACGGCTGTGAGTCGCTGTGTGTATGCGCGCGCATGTGTGTGTGTGATTTAGTTCAGCATCTAGTCTACGCTGCTTCAGAGAATCAATATGAACCTGGCTGTAAAACTCAGACTGTCAGGAATTTGTGTTACTGCGCAGCTTTACTTATTTATTTATTTTGTTATACTTGCTATCTAAATCGAAGGTGATGTACTGCTTCACATCTGCAGTAGCCCTCCTAGCATGTGGGAATTCTCAGAGCAACGGCCAGCAGCACTTTGCAACGGGGCTGCATCAGTCCTCTGAACACAGCATTGCCTCATGGACAGGTCCAGACTTTATCTGGGAACCTCTGAGTACTGTAGGATTTTTTTCTTTAAATGGCAGTGTAAGCCTTTTTCTTGAACCACTGCTCATCCAGCACTGCTTTATAAGATATGTTAAAGGGGCAGTATTATGTATTTTCTAGGTACATGGTGCCATTTTATAGCACAACAAAATAACTGTTACCTTTAGTTGTTACAAAAATGCTTTAAATATCAAATTGTCACCTTCCTCAAAGAATGGCCCAATTAATTTCTTCTTTTGCCAAACATCATTTAGAAAGAAAGGGGTGTTATTATTTTTATTCATTATTACTTTTGGCAAAAAATAAATGACTGGATGTTATTTTAGGAAGCTGATGAATTTTGACTTCCTAATTTAACACTGGCTGCACAGTGGCGCAGTTGGTAGAGCTGTTGCCTTGCAACAAGAAGGTTCTGGGTTCAATTCCCAGTCTGGGGTCTTTCTGCATGGAGTTTGCATGTTCTCCC